GCGCCCTCTATTAGGCACGAGATCGAAATTAAATACTTACGAGTAATATATTTTCCCCAGTGATCAAAAATTCGGGTGCAAATGGTGCATTTATAAATGACGCTGGGGAGTAATTCTGCCCTCCATATTATAAACACAGTAACCGCCATTTTTAGCGAAATTCAGTTATCTGGAATCAGCGAAAAAACCCTCCCTTTTGCCGCTGTTAGGCTCAATTCATATTGCGACGGAATGGAATGGAAGCGAATTTTTGTAACGGTATTATACATTGCATTATGAATTTTACGGTTAGTTGAGTAACGTACAAACTAGATACGATCCAAAATTTTCCGCGGAATGCCATAGAGTTCATTATACAATGTATAATATCGTTACAAAAATTCGCTCCATTCCGTTCCGCCACAATATATATTGAGCCTTAATTAAAAAGGACGCATTTGACATTAAAAAAAATTATGTATGTTGCCGTAATCAGGAAAAAAGGCCGATCTGTCACTATTTTTATTTTTTTTAAGTGACTAAGGTATGAAGTTACCGCATTAATATCATTAATATTTTTTTTTATAATATCAAGTGATCCTTCACTACCAGAACACAGTAATGCGGACATTACTGCTTGGCGGCAGAAACAGGTAAGGTGGCAGTACTACCCTGGACGAACTCTTTCACAAGGAACTGTACTGCTACTTTTTTCTCGGTTTTGAGTTTTTGTCACATGCCACTTTCAACTAACGGCGGCAGTGTTAGCGGGTTTTATGTTTTACTTAATTTCAGTTTGTTATTCCAAGAAAAAACCTTTTTCGTTTTTTCGGTGTAATAGTGCCTAGTAGAGCTCCATACTGCCACCTTACCCTTTTCTGCCGTAATATGAGGATTTCGATCTTTCGGTTTTGAAGGGTATAGTAAGGATGCTGGTGAAATTATAGGGACATAGGACTTTTCAACTTATGTATGTCTCAAGGTGAATGGCGCAGTGGTAGTGCCCTTACGATCTTTGTGATTTAAAGCTCTGAGTGGCACTGCAACTGCTATGGCCAGGCGCGTCGCTTACCACCAGGTGCACGACTTGTTCATCCCCTCACTTGGTATCATAAAAAAAAAGACTTCGTAGCCTTAGAATAATAACGCATAGAAACCTAGTCCGCACACGCTAAGTGAGGCAAATTGAAGCGCGCCCAAAGGGCCTACACGAGCGGGCGGGCCTTCAGTGCTCAAGGTCAACTTGCACCGCGAACAGATCAAGAATTTTAGCTAAAAATGACGAAAAGTGCGGTAAATGTAAAAATACGTCAGACAAACATAAAATAGATACTAACATCACATTCCACAAGGAAGTAACGCGTTTCAACTTGTATTTTTATATAAATATTCACTAAAACCGAAAATTAACCTACTACTAAAACTAGCCTACATGAATTTTATTTTTGCCTCACTTGTGACGGTTCGTTTGATATGAAACTATCATTCTATGCGTTACTATTCTAAGTTCGTAGTGATGTATTTATATTGAAGAGAAAAATAATTTATTTGCAATAGAAACAACAATCATAATCATAACGATCGCTTCCCCAGTGCAGAATTTAGCATTGCGTTTGCATCTGATTTTGACAATCATAATAATCGTTTGAAGAGCCGAGGTCGACCCCAGGTTTCAGTTAATAAAATCAAACCCATATTTTCAATGCCATGGACTCGTTCTTATACAAAAATATTCTAAAAGTTTTGTGCCTTTACGCTTTCTTTTACATTTCTTCTAATTAGATTTTTACCATAATATTTAATAAAAAATAAAACAAATTTACAATTCAACATTTTATTTGTCAATGCGTGACAAAAATATCGCTATTATGGATAAATGTTTATTTACATACATACTTTACATTTTTGGATCGCGAAACCCCACAACTTAAGTTACTTCAGTTATGTGACAACAGCCTATTATTGCGCAAATCGCAGCTCGGTTCAAACGAAACCATCAAAAGCGAGTTGTGGGTCTAATTTCGTAACGTATTTTTCAATACAATATACATAATAATATTATATGGAAGCGAATTTTGGTAACCATAGCATAATGAACTTTATGATAATCGTGTAACGTACACAATTGACAAATCGTACAAACCAGATACGGGCAAAAGACAGGTGCATCTTGCGCAGAATTTCGGCGCAGTCTGGAAAACTACCGCGCTACCGTATAGTTTGCACATGACATAAAGCACATTGTGATATGTACAATTTCAGCAAAAAAAATCAATCTTACCTTCCGCAGCAACGTAAATTGAGCCTTATAAAGCCTACTTTACGATTTCTTGCATTACGGAGCAGGGAAGTGGCGGAGTCAATAAATACTATATAAATGTACTGCAGAACAAACCATGTTTTTCATTGCAAGATGAAAGTATATGAATTGCTGAAAAGGCTGTTCACACAATTTTGATACTGTACTGTAGGTACAGTGAAATTTGATAGTCTTGAAATTTAATCGCTTTTGTCACATAGATAAAACTGCAGTTTTTATTACAACATCATTGTGTCTTAAAGGGAAGTCACCGCATACTAACTAAACAGAACATGTATACAAGTACGATATATATTTTTGGTTTTATTTTTTGTGTGACGTTATAAGTGTAATTTGATTACCTAAGAAATAAAGACACTTGATTTGATATGATAGAGTTAAAAACGAGCGTTTGACGTCAGCGGTCTGAGCGAACATGGAAGCGACACACGCAACTACTTTTTCGCTCTAATTGCATCGACATAAAGCCTTTTCTTACCGGCTCAAGCCGATTCTGCGTTAACAAGTATGGCGACTCGCTAAGAATTGAAGTGGCATGAGAATAACTCCCTAAATGACGAAGTATGAATAATATTTAGAAACCTACTTTTCTTGACGGAAGACGAAAAAAATATAATCATATCTTTTCTCTCCATGAGATCTCCATCTTGAATTACAATAAAATATAGCAAATCTACTTTGTTATGCTAGGTCGATAACTTGTACCTATTAACTAAGACAAAAAACAAGCTACTTGTACACCATGAATGCGCCTTCAGCTTATAGAAGCGCTACAGTGACGCTGCAGCCGTGCCGCTACTAATTTTCATACAATATTTGGAAGCGCAGTTGCAGCGCCACAATTAGTGAACTAAAAATTACTGAAGTCGCACCACTGCAGCGCTTCTACAACGTCCAATTTGAAGACGCCCTTAGTTTTCTCTTCACTCGAAGATTTTGTATGAAAATCCTTTTATTTAAAAAAATGACAGATGTTCGGATATGTGTGACAATGTCTACTTAAAGTTATTACTTTTGACCCAAACGTTAGCACTTTGACTTGGTTACCCCTTTTTGCCAAAAAGCCACGACATTACAAGATTTTCAATAAAGAATCCTTTTTTTTTTTCAATTTTGCTGTATAATTAATAAATATATTATATTGACTGCTACAAAAGCCTAGGATAATTATAACTTAATAATATGTTCCAATAAATTACAAAAAACCAAGCACAGAGGTGACAAAAAATATTTATTTAGAATAATGTAAAAAACTACATTTAGTTTTAAATATTTGGCACAGAGTGGAGAGATACTCCGCCAGCGCCCTCAACTCTGTTGACGACAAATGTTTATCATTTGTTTGGTCTATTGTACGAGATAAAAGCGCCCATCATAGCCACGGCAAGATTTGCCTTGTATACTTTCCAATAGCTTCATTTTTCTCAGTGGCATAAGAGAAAATTTCAATCAACAGAATTGATGGCAGCAAGGTTGAATAACATATCCCAGCCTAAACTATCAGATAATACAGTTGTTCTTTATAAGACCCACATACATTGTGAAACTTTCAAACATTATTTGAAAAACATTTAAATGTTATACTGATTTTATTCACATTTTTCCTACATTGAAACAAGTCACATGCAATATTATGTAATTGGAATACATTTTAGATACTACTTATTACATATACCTAAGATATTACATACCAGGTACCTGTCCATTAGATACTCTACATAATTTAGTTATAAAAATAGTGGGATATGTAGGTAAATAAAATATGCAGAAAATATATTTCTTTGTAGGAAAATAAGAAATATATAATACTTATTTGAAATTAAATAATGTTATACATAACTTTTGGATATTCTTTTATTAAAGTTCAATTTTATTACAATAAGCATTTCAAGCACCGCATAAACCATGAAGCCTAAATAATGCCAACCCCTAAAGGCTCGTTCTCACTTGGTCGACATACCATGTTTATTCAGCGACCAATGGCTGCGCATGTAAAGTATCAAGATTAAGGAAATTTTGATAAAGTCAATGGCAATTTGTTCGGAAATAAATGTGTTTTCTTTTTTCCACGACAATTAAACAAATTTTTGTGGAGTACTCTTACTCATTAGAAGGCTGTCGATGAAATGTAAATAAAGGCGGACGACCAACGAAGTTAGCTGTGGTCGTCATAATCGGCCATAAAGCAAAGCAAAGACCAAATAAATAGAGTCGACAATTAAAGTCAAGATCCCAAACAGCATGGTGTACATGTGCAAAGCGCAAACTCACCTTAAATATGTAGTGTAATGGCTAAGAGTTATGTAACACTAATTCCCATCAATTATATACTCCAACTTATACTTCGTTTTTTTAGAATTAGATAAATCGTAAACAAAGAAGCAGTGATCGTAAACATTTTTGCTTAATCAACAAATCAAAATAAAGGAAAATATCATTAAAAATTGATTACAAATGACACGATAATACGTTATCATTTTATAAAAAGTTTCCGTTTAATGTTTGGGAAATCTCGAGTTGTTATGTTTTCGCGATTGTTACACATAGGAAATGAAACTATTTTGTCGGATTTAATGACGTATATTTGTTTTTTCAAACAAACCAGCGTTTCAGGCCCTTTACAGTCAACCGTAATCATGGGACCTGTATACGCTGTTTAAATCCGGAAAAATAGTTTCATTTTCCTTTTTAAAAGATCTGGTTTTTTTAAAGTTTTATATAGTACAAGTCTTACAGTAGTTTCGAAAAAGATTCAGTATCTTATAGTAAAGCTTTTATAATAAGTCTCGAAATATATTAAGTATGAAGGTAGAATTTCTTCATTTATTTTATAACAGTTAATACAACGCGTACAGAAAATGTAACAATTACATAAAGGTAGACAATATGCTTGAAAATGATTCACAGTATTTATTAAATTTCTTTGCTTACAAAATGACTAAATGGAAAGACGCCTAATAATGCTACATCCTTCTGTATAATGCTAAAAAAAACGAAGTAGAAGAATGAATTTAAAAAAATGCATTTGCTGCATATACATCCGCGTACTATCATCAATTATGCACCCATCTAATAATGTAATATGTAAACGTATGTAAATCTCTTTAACATTAACTGATTGAATTCGCATGGCGCCGGCCGACCAAGTTGAAACTTGCATAAAAACTAACCCACATAAAATTCTTTTCACACATCAAATAAAAAATAACAGTTAAGCTATTAACATTTTTATCATAAGTCACTAGTAGTTATGACTAGAAACTTTATAAGAATCATCTAAAACCATTTTAGACCTAAACATTTAGTTTTTGTCTATGGAACCGTTTTACGAAGCGTCCTTTTGTGAACCTCAATGTGCTAGTCCCATTTTACAAAAACTATACCAAGGTCTTCTAGAAACTGCATTTTTCGTTTAATTTATGTGCATGTACGTAGAAAGTATGCTAAATAATATTACGTATTGGACCACATCTCGATTCGTTTCGAAAATTGAGTATTACTTAACAACAGATGTGATGGTCAATTTTTCCTGGAATTACAAAATAATCCAATACATAATCTAATCAAATTAAATTATATTCACAAAGCCAGAGAGAGACCTATCTAGCCTTTTGTCCTAACCTTAATACCTAAGTTAAACCTACTGTATCACAATCGTGTTCGTCGCCTACTATCTCAATGAGGGCTAGGTGCATATTGCATTGGTTTGTTGTATTTATAAGACAATAACCAACGAAACTTGAAACACGTAATGCTTGCTTGACCCATTATGCCATGGGATAGTTATGCTTATGTTGTTCTATTATAACCAACCCTCATTACGAATTGATTCTCTTCATAATTCTATTACAATTTGAGCCATCAATTAAAAATACAATTTAACTTTAGACCTCTTGAACACATTAATCCCTGTGTTCAATATACTTTATTGTAAACCATGAAGTCACATTTCTAGATTAAATGCTACTAGAAAAGAAGAACAATGAACACAAAATGGCCGCAGCAATATGGCGGCTAATGGTGAACGCACACTGTTTGCCACGTCAATTAGTATTTAGATTTGAAATAAAATGTCAGTGGAACAGCTTACGTGTATATACGTAAAAAATCCGATCCGTGGTGACAGACTAATATGCATTCGCCAAAAGGTGACATGTTTCATGCATTTTAACGTCAAACTTAATATGTATTAAACATAAAAGTAATTATTCCCTAAGATATTTTTCCAAAATTTTTACACACCCGCCCCAGTGCAAGTGTCAGAGCTATCCTACGATGCAGTGTTACTACCCCTTGTCCAAATAATATTCTTATGACGGCAAGAAATATTCTAGAATATCAGTTAAAAGATCTGCTCCGTCTTAATTTTACAGAATCTCTGCAATCACATGAAAAATATACATGAAATTTTTTTCATGAAATTTTTCGCACAATAACTTAAGACGTTGTTAGTTACCTTTCATAAATAAAATGGAAATTAATGAAAAGGAACTTTAAATTAAATTTAAACAGTCATTAATGTTAATCATCCTGTTAAAGTTCGATACCACTACAGTTATATTTAATAATTACATGATACCAAAGTCATTTATTGAATTCTATGTACGACATTACATAGTATCTAATTTCTATGATTACATGGGCACATACGATGTGGTAGCTGTTATATGTAAGGATGTGTTACTATAAGTGTTAAAAGGGTTTTTTTTATTTTACAATGTTTTATAGGGGCTGATTCCACCCACCAATACTACCAACAATACTAACTTTTATTACAGAGATTTCCTCCAAATCGCTAAAGAAATATCAAATTAGATATTTTTTCACGATTTATGAGGGGTAAAATCCCCCCTAAAAATACCGTGAAATAAAAAAATACACCCTGTATGTAAGTCGAACGTTAACGTAATGTCAATTAATTAGAAATCGTAATATTTGTTTATAAAACGATATACGACAAAAGGTCGTCCACAGTATACAAAATGTCACTTTTATTCGTTGAAAATTTGAAATACAGTTTTCAATCAATAATTTTAACAGTTTGTCTTCCTGTTTAATTGTACTATGGTACATTGACTACTTTTATGACATATTGATCTACTGAGTTACTTGGCAGGGTATACGCCGTGCATGGCAAGGAAGCCGTGTAGGTCTCTTGGTACTGCGTGCGGAGGGTATCGTACCCCGTTGGCGGCTAAAGCGGCCGCTGCCAAACACGCCAATCGAGGTTTACGCGCGGATCGGACTATTGATTCAGCTGGACCTGGGAAAAATAGTACACGGTTACTCCAAGATCGAATTTTTAATTAAGTGAAGTCATAGATAATTCAACTGTGGTGTAAATTCGGTTCCGGTAGGTTCAATTTGTGGAATTAAGGGTCGTATTCCAGAACTCTACTCAACGCTCAACCCAGGATTTGAGCAGACTTGAGTATGATTTCAAGCACTGGAAATACTACCCTAATGGCAAGGACTTGAGTATGATTTTCAGTGCTCACTGCAATACTCAAGTCCTGACTTGAGTATTGAGTAGAGTTCTGGAATACGACCCTAAATTTTCATTGAATTGAGAACTTTTCGCGATAGCTACACTTTGGAAATAAAACAATTTTTGACCGACTTCAAAAAAAGGATGAGGCCCTCAATTCGACTGTATTTTTTTCCTTTTTTTTGTTACGCGATACGGCATTAGTGAACCGATTTTGATGATTCATTTTTTATTGGAAAAAAGGTAACTCCGTATTGGTCCCATTTCAATTTAAAGAAAGTATACCACCTCTAAGGCTGACAAACTTGGGGATGAATCCGGTTTCGGACACTTTCCGGTAACTCATTTCAATAAAACTTAGCAAATAGATGTAATTCTGCGAACTTTTGAGGTCGATTTTTTAGTACTATGTACTCAGATTATTTCGGATGTAAATCGCGTATATTTGTTTTTTAAACAAACTAACGTTTCGGGCCATTTTCGATAATGGAGCAATGCATACCTAAATAATGCCTATTCAATTTCGCCTTGAAATGACTCAAGTTTATAGTTCAGGGAATAAGCATGCAGGCAGAGAATTCCATTCCATAGCCGTTCGCCATATAAATGTGGAAGCGAAACGCTTGGAACAAATCCTTGGAAAATCCACAACATAAGAATGGAACCCAAGCCTACGTCTAGCTCCCCGATGATAGAAAGGAGGATGCGGAATTAAATGATGCAATTCCATCGCACACTCTTCATTACATACCCTGTATAATACCGATAAGCAGGCAACTTTACGGCGGTGCTCAAGGACCTGCAGCTTTGACTAAGATGTAAAGTCATCAACCAGTGATGTCTAATATTAATGCGAACCACCCTATTTTTCACTATAGTTACAAAATTTATTTATTTGAATGCCTTATTTTTTACGCTACATACGTTTTGCGAAATATTTAATTTTAACAATATCAATTAGACAAATCAATTAATATAAATATACACCTTTTTGAAACTTAAATCGGTTCTGATTTGAGTGTTCTATATAGGCATAGTCCCTGTGTTTATTTCGTTGCTCAGAAAATACTTAGTTTCCAATTATTATTATAAAAACTTTTGGAGCGGAAAATCTTTATTTTCGTTTAAGAAAAATTTGTCAAAAACCTGTTACGCTCCGATACCACTTGTTGCGTATCTGAGTGATGTGACATTTCAAAAGTATCAACTTCGCCTTCCGCGCTCTAAAATAGAACCTCTATAGTGCCGATGTCATTTATTAGGAAAGTTGAAATAGGCAAGAGTTATATTTATATATATATATTGGTTTAATTTATACCGACACTTCAAGGAAATAATTAATCTTCCGCCGGTTCCTACCCGACGACGGTCGGAGCGTAGGTTTGTCATATTATTATTTTAGTTGCACCTACACATCGTAAAACATAATTTGGAAAAATAAGATACTCATTAAAGTATTCTGTACTGATTTTTTTTATGATAAATGCAATACTTACATATTGATATTTTATACCAGCATCACAGATGGTATCTCGTTATGGTATGGTATAATTATGAAATAGAAATGAAATGCTGAACAAATGAAATTTAAAACTTAATATAGCGTAAATTGGAATGTTTTCTTTGTAAAATTAAAAATAAGGTATTTAATTAATAACTATTGTAACTATAGTGAAAAATAAAGGTAGTTTGCATCAATATTAGACATAACTGGTTGAAGACTGTACCAACTCAGTGAACCGTGACCATGGGACCTGTAAAGGGTCCGAAACGTCGGTTTGTTTAAAAAAACAAATATACGCGATTTAAATCCGGAAAAATAGTTTCATTTCCTATGTGTAATAATCGCGAAAACCTAAAAACAGAATATTAATTGTGTTATACCTTCATAATATTTATTTTCGTACATTGTTTATATTTAATAAAATTGTTATTTTACAATTATTATGTTAGAGCGAGTTGCAACATTGTCATACAAATCTGTTTAGGTTTAAGAGTGTAAAGTAAAGCCGTGTTAATGTTTTTGTAATTAATAAATAAATATTTAAAAAACACGTTTACTTTTTGACGTCATTTTTAAACATCACGCGAACGCTTGAGTTATATAATGACCCCGCACTGTGCAATGTATTTGCACCGCGACATTTTGCGAATGTGTGTAGCCGTACATGGCGGGCAACGGGCGTGCGCACATACATACCTTGCTGCTACGTTCGTATAAGGTTACACTTCTTGTTTTATTACACTAAGGTAATACATACATAGAGCAGTGATCATAAACAATACATAAAAATGATAAAAATCTCTCTCTAATATCCCAGGATTATTCAATTGGAAAAACGTCTTTGGAATGTCCGCCTGTCACACCTGATTACCTCCGAAATTACTCTTAGAAAGTTGCAATGGCACAAAGATAGAAATTGGTGGCACAATCACAACGGGCAGTACTTAACGTAACGTTAACTGGTATCATTCATAATCAACCCATTATACGTCCCCCTGCCATACTCTGTTCATTTTAGTTTCGACAGCTCGAGTATTAATCAATTAGGGATGTCCTAATGCGTTACCGATTCGGTGTGACATGAAACTAACATAAAAACTACCAGTAAATAATTATTTATAAAAGAGTTTTATTCCTGCCTCTGTGGCCGAACGGTTACCATGCCTGACTGCCACGCAGAAGTCCCGAGTTCGATACCCGGGCCGGGAGAAATATTTGTATGGCCTACATATATTTATCTCGTGAGATTGGATGTAATTTGTGGTTGTCTATGTGTGTGTCGATGGCACCCACGACACAGGTTTTCCCTAGTACAGAGCTATAGCCATAGCTCCGCGCTAGGGAATATTAGTTGAGGCGAAGCTGCAGAACCTTGAACACCGCCGAAAATTTGCCTGCTTGTCGGTATTTTTCAGGATATATAACGAAGAGTGTGCGATGGAATTAAACGATTTAATTCCGCCTTCTCCTTTCCATCATCGGGGGACTAGACGTAAGCTTAGATTCCACCCCTGTGTTGAGGATATTCCAAAGATTCGCACGAAGCATTACGCTTCCACATTCATATGGCGAACGTCTATGGAGTGAAAATTCTTGCCTACAGACTTGTTCCCTGAACGGTATAACTTGGACCGTTTCAAGGCGAAAGTGAATAGGCATTATTTAGGTGTGCACGCTCCACGGTCGTCACTTTCCATCAGGTGAGATGGAGGTCAAATGCGCACTCATAAGTGTGTGCGTTATTATAATTAGTACTTCTAATTTTTTTATTTGAAGAAGCGATTGGAAACATTCGAATTCGTAAAAGTAATTCAAGTTCAAAATCGGAAATTGATGCTAGATGAGATATATAGCACATTAATATAAAATAAAATCTTAGGGTCGTATTCCAGAACTCTACTCAATGCTCAAGTCAAGACCTGAGTATGATTTAAAGCACTAGAAATCATACTCAAGTCCTTGCCATTAGAGTCGTATTTCCACTGCTTGAAAAGATACTCAAGTCCTGAGGGGCTACTCTCGATCTCCGTCCGACATCCGTCCGAAACAATTACTGTCATTAAGTAATATTCAACAAAATTAAAAGACAAGTATCCAGTATGAAGCTTCATTCGCATCACGCGTCTTTTCACTTGGTCAAGTATTGCTTATTTGGCAGTAATTGTTTCGGACGGATATCGAGAGTAGACCCCCTGACTTGAGCATTGAGTAGAATTCTGGAATACGACCCTTACAATTTTGTCTCTTTTCTTTGGCCATTACCTACTATCTATCTAACAGTATGTATTAAATAGGTGTTAAAAACTTAACTATTTTATTCTAATTATAAATCATACGCATCGATAGGTATTTTGCAAACTTTATAATAAATGGTCAGGTAAGTACTACTTCAACATAACGCAATTACCTACTTATCTATTTAAATTCCGATTAAGCGAGCAAGCCGTGAGCAGAACTAGCCTAAATAACGAGCATTAACAAAAAAAGTTCTTTACACCTGTCACTATTTATTGATTTGCAACGTTTTGTTATTAAACGTTCTATATCGAATTTGGCTAGAATATAGTGTAATAAGTGGTACTAACTTCCGATCGACGCAAGCAGCGGCGTGATACCGTCACCGTCCATCGCGTCGACGTGTGCGCCGTGGACGAGAAGCTCGCACACCACTGCACACAGTGGCTCGCTCCATTGATCGCGCTCATCTGTACAAACAAAGCCCTGATGAAGGTGTGTTGAATGGCTAGGGGAACGTTCCTGAATTGTGGCAAAACCAGCGAGTACTTCGGAAGGCTAATTTACATTGCCGAAAATTGAAAAAAACAATTACGTTATATCTGGAGTACGCTCTCTCGATGAAAAACGGTAGCCGTCGTTTATGAACATTTGCGATGAAATATCTTTAAGATGAGTCACCGGAGGAGAAGCAGGATAAACTGTTTTACTAGATGAAATGGTTTAAGTATTTACTATTACATAAAATTTGGACTGCTTCTGTGGCCGAACGGTTACCATGCCGGACTGCCATGCAGAGGTCCTGGGTTCGATTCCCAGGCCGGGAGAAATATGTGTATGGCCTACATTTATTTCTCTCGTGAGTTTGGGTGTAATTTGTGGTTGTCTATGTGGGTGTCCATGGCACCCGCGACACAGGGTTTCCCTAGTGCGGGGCTATGTTGAGTGTGTGCGTTATTATTATTATTATTATTATTAATGGTCTTAAAAATATATACAATGCATCTAAGGACGATCATAATAAAATCCCGAAAACAGTATAACATTTTATGTTAATTCTTATAAACTTTTAAGTTTATAAGAATTATCGAAGAATAAAATATCTGACTTTGCACATAACAATGGAAAACGATCACGACAGAATTTAACATGTGGTAGAATTTTTCTCTGTGCAATACCTCACTGGCTATGTACTGCTGTCTAATGCTTAACATTGCCTTAATAACTTATTGGTGAAAAGGTTGCTTACATCTAGCGGATTCTTGAAAGAAAAAGGAAATTGCCCAATTTAACGACACCCGTCAGCCATCGGGCGCTTGTCAACGTCGGATCCTTGTCAACTTTTCTCCGCCTGTTCTTATTTTATTCATATTAATTTGAAGGGAAGTAAAAACTTTCTTAATTTTTTGTCTTTAAGTTTTTACTCAATGGATATTCAATTATTTTTATGTGATATTACTCCACTAGTTTGTATTAATAATTATAACAAGTGATTACAATGTATTACAGTGAATAGCTACATCTCTAGCCGGGACCGGTAGCTGTTAAGGTTAAGGTCATAAATTTGTCATAGATGGCGCTACGGCTAAAAAGTCGTTGAAAAACCAAATACAAAGACACGACAACAAGCACATAGAAAAATTCGTGAGGTCCGCTGCATATAGGGGTAAAAGGCCGATCTAGCTGGTCAAAACTATTTATGTGACTTTTATTATTGTATAGGAACTTTTATCATATTTTAAAATAAAACAAGTGGTTTGTGGTAGTTAACAAATAAAAGAAAACAATCTCTTTATTTTACAAACAATTACAATTACAAGTTAAATTAAAATAATAACTTCGGAATAAATATTAGGCGGTAAAAGGGCTGTTGACAAATATATACATTTTTCTTCAAACGTTGGTAAATTCTGCCGTTGTATTTTATCGAACATACTTTGCCTTGTTACCGCTCTTAAGTTTGAGCCTCCAGGCGATTCTAAAACAAATTTAAAATAGAGTTAAAATGGAATCACCAAAAGTGCAAAAAAGTATCATTAATGATAACTGATCACTTTAGTGCACTTTAGTGCTGACGTATTGAGAAAGGGCATCTAAGAGCATGTAATTTCTCAATGTCCGTAATAATAAAGATTAAATCTAAGCGTTATGTAAATATTTTGAGGCTATCTCACGATACATTTAACTAAACCCTTCGAGAATACCAAAACGTTAATAAAAATATCTTAAAAATTGAATTAATTTATTAAGTTATATAGTCATTATAATAAAAACTAAATTTAAAGAAAGTTCAAGAAAAGTATGCGTCCTTACCTGTATTTTCAGAATCCATGGCTATTATTTTTAAGGCAGACACCAATTCACTAATATTAAACTTTGAACTCGACGCATAGAAGAAATGTCAATAAAGAATACGTGCACACTAGATGACGATAAACTTTCAACTGGTTTTAGGAAGTGAAAGGAAATACTGAGAGGAGAGGGGAGGGTCACCTATTGTTGAGCAACTATCCAGCTCACAGCACGTAGATTTTTTTCTACCTGCAACTTATTTGGGATTTTGACTTTTGACCGGCTAGAACGGCTAAAAACCCTTATGTGCACTGGTTCGTTCCGTGGCTTAGTTGATATAGCGTCTGGCATGGTATGCTAGAAGACGTCGGTTCGAATCCAGCCGGATCGAAGGAATTTTTCTAAGTATTCGTATCTTTATATTAATAATTATAATTTTTTGTTTTTTCTGTACTTTATCAACATGAATACAAATCATTTTTATGTCACGATACAGATGTCGATGTACAAGTGCGACGCGAACCTGGTATGAGCTGATAGCTAATGAGAGCCACATGCAGCGCAGTCCGCCGGGTTTCGTCAGGAATGTCCACCTGTGCTCCGCATTCTAACAGCAGTCGGGTTGTTCTTGGACAAGGAAATCTGCACAAAATGATAAAAGTAATAGATAATTTAGGGCATTGAAAAATGTGATTTCAAAATGTTAATTTATGGCAGAATGACAATAAGAATAGCAGATTTTATTGCATATACGTGAACCACAGTCGTATAGTGCACTGAACAAACGATGCCATTAATATGAAAAAAAAAAGAAAAAGTTATATACTAAGATTGTTATAATAATAAAATTTTGTTCTTATTTTCTTCAATTGGCTGGAAGAGGTCCATCTTTGCTGACCTTCTGGCCCTGTACTCAGACCGACATGCGAAAAACCCATGATGTGAATGAAGCTTCATGCGTCGTAATACTTGACATTGTCTTTTAATTCGGTCGAGTATTACTTGACAGTAATTGTTTCGGACGAATAACGAATGGAGAACGAGAGTAGACTCCCAGTTCAATTTAATATTTACAATTTTAATATTTCTGTTGTATTTATTTGGTGCAATAAATAAAATAATACAATTTTATTACTTTTTAATACAGTTGTGGCGCGGCGCGCAGCGATCTCACGTAATACTCACCTCCGGTCATTGTTAATACTCAATCAGCCATCTTCATGGAAAATATTTTGGTATTTTTAAATGTAACCCGTTGTTTTATAAAACACCTATGCAATTTAAACAAATAAGATGTTTGTAAGTAAATATAAGTTTTAATGACGAATGACTTACGTCACAAAGCACATAAATATTAAATAAATATACAACCTCTTTAGTTCTATGTTTAAGACTTGAAACAACAGTAAATTAAAAAAAAAAAGAAAAAGTAAAAAGCACTAGTGCGAAAAATCCAACTTTCAGCACGATTTGTGGTACGAAAAATATCACGTTTTGAGCCAGGTATTAAAAATAACTACACACATCAAAAGTGTCTAGGGATCAAGTACGTTTAAGAGTATTGCTGCAATTAGGGTTAATTATATTAACTTTTTTGTATCGCTATTGATACTTTTAAGTGAGTTTTAACATTTAAATAAGGAATATTGTTTAAAATTCGATAGAAGAAAATCGATTGTCAATGTGGTTTTGTATAAAAATGAGTTATAGCGTTTTGACAAAATCATTACAATATCTGCATCGGAACCGAAACAATTTACATTATTATGGAGAGACGACATCATTTAACCCGAGAAGTGATGATGTGAGCCGTCGGAATGTTGGAAGCTGGTTCCAGGCAACGTGCTGTGGCTTTCACTCTTAACACTACACAGAGCGTCATAAGTCGCCTCTGGACGCGCTATCGCATGACGGGCAGCGTGGCCGAGCGACATGGAGGACGATCTCGCATCACGACTCGCAGACAGGACCGGTATATCCAAAATACTGCTCGACAGAATCGTACCATGACCGCCATGATGTTGGTTACGAGGCTCCACAGCTCCTCAGGCTTGCTAATAAGCGATCAAACAATCCAAAATCGTTTACGTGAAGTGAGTCTGCGATCCCGAGAGCCGCTCAGAGTTCCACCTATTGCACCCTGCAATCGCAGAACCCGTTTACGATGGGCTCGCGAACACAGAAACTGGGAGGAAGAAGACTGGCGCTATGTGTGCTTTTCGGATGAATCCCGCTTCGGTATGAGACCGGATACAAGACGTACTCGAGTTTGGAGAACATCTGGACGTCATGAACGTTTGAGATATTGTCAGGAAGTTCATCCATATGGTGGGGGAACAATAATGATATGGGCCGGTATTTGGATCGGCGGAAGAACCGATCTCATTTGGATCAGGGGTAACCTCAATACTCAAGTTTACGCAGAGAGGATTGTTTCAGATGTTATCATCCCTTTGCGAGGCCAGTTGGGTGATTCATTTCAACTAATGCATGACAACGCACGTCCACACACGGCTAGAGTCGTAACACGCATTCTTGCCGAAGCTCGTATCAACGTTCTGCCGTGGCCTGCTCAATCGCCAGACCTCAATCCAATTGAGCACGCATGGGATATGCTTCAAAGAAGAGCTGTGCCGAGTATGCATACCGTACATACTCTACAACAATATTTTGACTTGTTACAAAACACATGGGCGGCCATTCCTCAAAGTGATTTTGATGAACTCATCTTAAGCATGCCAAATCGCTGTAATTGTGTGATTCGTGTTAATGGTGGAAATACAAATTATTAATTTTCTTATCTTTACAATAAAAATGAGCAAAATCATCATTTTCGCCATTTTTTTGTCATTTAATTGACGCCGTTAATTTGAGTTTTTTCCCACAATTTGCAAAAACATCAATTTTAGTTTATTTTAATTAAATATAGGGGTAAGCGGTTAAATAAAACATAAGCATTAAAGTAAGAAGTCGTCCTGGAAGACTGGATTTGGTAAATATTGCTTAAATAATTTTTATTTCAAAAATATTCACTTGATCCCTAGACACTTTTGATGTGTGTATTTTATTACTCGAACACATTTGTATAATATATATATATATATATTATATAATATATTATATAACTATTTACAATAGTAATATAATGTAATTAAATGTGTACCGATTATTATCTGAGGAAGTAAATGAATTTGAAGGAAACAAAATATTTTGTCATCTTGTCGTAAAAATTTAAAAGTAAGGGCGCTGGCAAACCTGGGGACGGGAAGGCAAAGAACATTAAGCCTTAAAGTGTTATAAGCTAATAGTGATCATGTGCGCTTACTGGCATACGTCGCTGGTGTGGAAGTCGTCGACTGGCGTCCGTCGGTCAGCCGCTAAGTGGAGTAACGTCTGTCCGTTTCGTAACTTTGAGTTGCGGAGGTGGAATATTGCTCTCCGTACCGCATTGGAGATGTCCTGCTTTAAAATTAATATTGCATTTATGTTTAACAAAATTGTACTAATCACTAAATATATTTTCATGTGTGGTAAGAAACCAGCGACCTAACCGCGTGAAGCGGAAAACAGCCAAGTGCTATCGATATTCAATCTATCCAGTCCTGTGTTACCATTTAAACCACGGAAGAAAAAGACATTGGAAATACTTTACTAAAAGAACGATTACGATTACTATAAGAACCGCTATCGCCAAAACTCGCACATTCACGATTTGAAACACTGTGAAATCTTGATAATGATTGGTCGTAGTTTCAATTTAATAAAGAAATAAGATATTCTGGGCTGCTAATATAATTTAAACTTTACCCTATTGGCATACCGTTGTAAGTTCAACACCATCAATACCTATTATTGCAAGTTAAGACGTTTTGGTTTTATATTGAAGTTTCAATCAATGTGCTGCCATCTAGCTGTTAATACCTGAACAACTACGAATTAGAGACAAATTTACTTTCGTTTCTTGAACCATAAAAAAATATTACGATAACAGAACATTGAAAATGTATTAAAATTAAATAAAAAAGACTAAATTGTAATACGAAACACCACCATAGATAATATTACAAGTGCGACTATCATTTTTATACTCCAAAGTAGCGAAATAAGGCATTTTTCTACTACGATTTTGGAGATTTTGCACAAGATAATTGACACGACCTTAGCGTACAAAGCGAAAATGACAAAGTGAGCTCAAGTTAGCTGAACTCTGCGACCTGTTGCCACACGTACCACGCAAAGTATAATACGCAAAGTATAGTATAATTTAAATTAATATTTAAAAAATGTATAAGGTTACACCACTTTTGCGCTGATAGCTTCATTTATAAAGTTCCTGCGCACGATTTCCGAAATTTATCCGATAGCAAACCTTGGATTCCCTTGTACAATTAGTAAATACGATAGTTGAAGCAGCACAAAAACGTTTGATTAGAAAATGGTTTAAAGGCAACACGGAGCAAGACACGGAGAATACAATATTAACCGGGCTGTCTTTTGGCTTACCAGGTCAGGCTGATGTAAATACTTATGATACTCACATCGTTAGCATTACTGTCTACCAGCCTAGCCGCCACGGCGACGAGGTAAAGGGCAGTGCGCACGTTGCTCTCGTACTCCTCCTGTGACAGTCGAACACGACACATTGTCTGCTTCAATACTTGTCACGTTTTCCTTTTAGCTTATGAACTATTCGTGATTTGTATGGATATGGATTTGAAGAGGAACTATTCTACGTGTGACTTAGGAACTTAATAAATACTACTCAATCCAAATTTTAGGAAAACCTTAACTTTCTATAGATAATTCAAGATATTTATATTTTAAACCAATTAGTGGGGCAAATAAGTCGTGTGGCTGGTGGTAAGCGACATGCGCACCCATAACAGTTGCAGTGCCACTCAGAGACTCACTATATTGCAGAAATAAATGTTGATTGTTCTAGCTACAATTGATAACCAATGATCCGAAAAATAATCTGAACGATTACAGACTCATAAAATTTCGAATCGATTTCTCGTGAGAATCGATTAATATGGTTACCGATATGTTAAGTTACATCCCTATTTACGATACAATGACAAGTGTCAAAAGGTGCCTCTTATTTTGTGACAACTCTAGTCTAGTCTTGTATAATCCAACAAAAAAGAGAAAAGAGGATGCAATAAAGTCGATTGATTTTGATAATTTGATATCACAATAATGTGGATTGATATTCTTTAATGCACATTGTTTTAGGGGATAATTCTATTCACAAATATGAAATGTTATTACTATGGAAACGACTTTCAAAGCGTCTTCTCCTCACCACTTTGATGGATACGCCTGTCTTTTCTAAGAAGAGACGTAGAGAGATAATGGCCAATGTAAACATGAGTTTAGTATTAATGGTGTTTATACATACTACAAAAGCATCGCCGTCGTGGCTCAGCTCTGGTTTCTCCAGTCGTTTACGTCCGCGTTGTAGCTCCTCCACGCATGCTTCAAGCACGTAGCACACCTATGAGGTAGTTAACGAATAAGTTATAAATGTTGTTACTGAAATAAATAAATCTATTTTTAATGGGCTATTTTAATTGTTACTTCATTAGGAAAATGCGCTTTTATAATGTTTCTGGACAGTTCCTTTTTATTTTATTTCACGGGTCGCCGATAATTAGGTCCTAGTCTACGACTCTGGTCCAAAGCGGATTGTGGATTTCATACGTTTTCTAAAGGGTGGTGAACCTTCTTCGACGTGTGGGTTACAATTACAATATTTTTCTTTGTCGTTAGCAAAACATATAGTTACTAAACAGTCGCAAATATACGTAAATAATTTAAAATTAATGCCATACAAACACGCCGATTTACAATTAATTAATTACTTCTAACAAATTGCTTAGTAACTTACCTGAACAATAGGCAGTTCTATTCCAATATGGATCATTTGTGAGAAAACTTGAGCAAATCTGAGCAGGTCCTTCACTACTGAAACCTGTAAGAAGATCAAAGATTTAAATTAAATCATAATTTAATTAAATAACACAGGTATCAGGTGAATACCTTGAGGTACCCAAAACAAAAACCGTAAAGAGTTTAGAGTAATATGGATATTACTGATTGCTTTTTTAACAACGAGTCTGAAAATCAGTCAAAACTCATTTACATAAAGCGCAACTAACATTTATATGCCCCTTATTAGTTACCAATACATGATCAACCTTATAGAACGCTTCATAGAAATCTACATAATACAATTTAAAGTTGTTATCCAAATATTATTTTCCCCAGTGAAAACTACGTACTGGACTAGCCTCAACAGTTTAGGATACACTACACTTCACGTCAAAGTATACTACTTAAGTATAAATATAAATTAACATAAACAGACACTGGTGTATTTTCCAGCCCATCTGTTAAGATATACTCCATACTCAGTCATAACACTATGAAGTTAATATTATACTGACCTTATTTTGCTGTCTAAGAGTCAAAGCGTGTCTCCAAAGCGCAAGGCAGCGATCGAAGCGAGCTTCGTCAGCGAAAACAGCACCTCTGAACACGACTGGATGTGGCAAATCCGGACACGATTGACCAAGAATACGCTCGCGTACTGTAAGACCTTCCATGTGAAGAGCATGCGCGTTACCATGTAGACGTTCTACGTCCTGTGAATAATATTCTAAATCTAGTGAATCAACTAGTGTTAAGGCCCATCATCGTTATCACGAAAAAACGGTACCTCAGTCGCTTGCCAGGTGTAGCTCCGTGTCTCGCCAGTCCTTTAATGTCTAGTAAGTTAACTTTAAGCATAAAAAATTGTGACGGTTGACTTTAGTTTATCAGCAGTTTTTTTATACTATCAAGTGACGGCGCGAACAAGTCGTGCGCCTGTAAGTAAGCTTAACCCCTGTCCATAACTGTTGCAGAGCCACTTAGAGCTTCAAATCGTAATGATCTAAGGGGGACTGCCACTGCTCCCGTCACCCTGGGACATAAGTTGACAATCCCATGTACTGCAATTTCACCAGCACCCTTACCCTTCAAAACCGGAACACAGTAATGCTGACATTACTGCTTAGCGGCAGAAATAGGTAAGGTGGCAGTACTTCCCTCGACTAACTTTTTCATAAAGAGCCCCACTGCTAGTAAAATCAAGTTCATATTAGTTGAATTGAAATATTGCGGGGTAAACTTGGATGAGATTGGTGCCTGGACGCCTATATTCCAACAATCGGCGAAGTCATATTATGATGATTGACATTAGTTGTTTAAATTCCGCAGCATAGCTGGGGCCAATATTTATTACTCTACCTAAGAAACAGTTAGTACCTCTATAGTGGTGCTCTCTCGCCAATTGTCATACGCAGGTATAGGGTCTGCTGGCTTTTTTAGCAACAGTCCATATCGCGTGTCATATCGCATTGCCATCGCTCTGTGCAGGTACTGGTAGGCCATCTAGAAAAACATGGCTGGTAAATAATCTTCCTATATCTATGTAAATAACATGCATTTAAGAAATCATGACAATCCTGAGTACCAAAGCTTATCAAGGGACCTGGGGGCCTACCATAACCTTTCCAAAAACAATCTTATTTGAATGTAAGCATAAAGTAAGCTTAATGTGATATTACTCATTTTCGTACCATGACAAACCTATCAACCAAGTAATATATTATTGCTAAAAAGGACTGAAAGAACGAATGATTTCCCATATAGTCTATTCCTTAGTAAAAGTAGGAAAGAAATAACGCTTTATGAACTGTATAATGCCATCTCTTTCTTTTTTGATGTTCCGAATCGTGTTATCGTAGTATAATATTATTCACATTTAGAGAATTTTAACTGCCAAAACAATAAAAGTGTGTAGTAATGAAATCTACTAAAATTACGTTCTTTTCAATTATTATTCCGCATTTTCATGAAGATAAATAAATAAAACAAGCTGAGTCTTAATAGTCACGTTGTGAATTCGGAACAATAGTCTAGTATCAACTGTTAGTTTCGTCAAGGAGCATATAGATGGCGCTGTCATAATTTTACGAAATAAAAATCGCGTATTTTTATTTTACGAGAAATTATTTCCTATGTGCTATTAAATAAAAAATAAACAAAATATTGAAGAGATATATGTAAACAAATAAGTTTAACTTAACTTTTAATCATTACAAATCGATATTAAGACAATAAAACTGAAAATAATATTGTTTCCATTGCATTCGTGTAACTATTTTAAGATTGCTAAATTTGACATAAGAGCAATATTACTTTAATGTTAACGTCACGTCTTAGTACGAACTGAATGAATGAATATCACAAAGCTGCCAATAAAACATCATAGTTTTAACATTACTATAAGCTTATATAGTACAAAAATTCAATGTAAGGTTAAAGTAACATTGTTGTATGAGGTTGTGGTAGGCCCCCTGGTAGCCGGATGCCATGACAGTCTGTCAAATGATATCATAGGCAGATGTATCCGACTATCATTGCCAGATCAGTATCAAATGACATTAAATATTGGTAAAATCAATACAAACACGTTCAATGACTGACTTCAGCTTTGGTTTTACATGTTATTAATTACATCATGGGATTTAAACATATTACTCAAACTTATACATTTATATAAACATGATTATCTCTTATTACAACGCTGTTTTATTTAACTGGATTTCAGATTAGTCAAGATTTTTCATATAATAATCCAAAAAATATAAACCAACATACCCTTAAGCAATAGTACTCCTTATCATTAGCAAAGGAAGCACCGAGCAGTTCGAACGCTTCGATGGCTTGCGCTCGCGTCACTTCCGGCCTCGCCGCGAGAATCTCCACCACCGACGCACGCGCACGCTCAGCGGCGCATTGCAGAGGTGTCATGCCTGGAAAATTACGTCACAGAACATTATATTTTTTTTACCAATTAATTCTACGAGGAACATCTTGCATCCACAGTAACCTAACCTTTGGGCCACCACGAAAAATACTTTGACATAAAAAGTAATAAATGCAAGAAAGTGAGACGACGAGGGTCCATTTAAATTGTCATCGTCCACCCATTAGACAAATTCAAAGATATATTAGACTTTCCATACAGATTTGGATCAATCAATCGATCAGTTGATAGATTTTGTACGGAAATCTAAATATTTTATGATTTGTATTCAAAAGTCGAGAAAAAAATTATTTCGAATGACAGGAATACGCTTTCATAATATTTCGGGGCATTTCATTATGCATCCAACTGCTGGGCACGGGCCTCCTCTATGAGAGTTTAAGTCATAGACCGCCACGCTCCTGGTCCAATGTAGGCTGGGGACACGTTTTCCAAAGTTTGTGAACCTTTTTCGACAATCATGTTTCAACACGATGTTTTCATTGTACACAAATGTAGGTATCATAAAAACGTCGAGTATATAACCAAAAATAAAGGCGAAATAAGGGCCATCAAGTAACTCATCAGGTAAATGGGCCTTATATCACTTTTAAATATCAACTCATGTTTGCGCTTGCAATCGCAAATTAGAAACTGAAATAGTACAGCGCCAACAACTGACCTGTGTTTACGTCTGCGTATATTCCAAAAATATTCTGCACTTATTGTAATAAAGATAATATCTCTAACAATGGGGGCTGTCCCATTCGGTGCTGTGGAAACAGCAGCGAAACGTCTAATTACAAAACAAAAGGAATCACATTTCATCGGTAATTAAATACTATGATCTAATTTAATTAAATGTTTGCATGTCGATAATGACTTATCGAGAGATTATGGTACGACATTAAAGAAATCCGCCATTTGTTTGTTCAATTTTTGTTTAGGTATGCACGTTCATTCCGTAGTTAGGGCAGCTTCTTTCTTTTATTTTTTTCCATCCTCTAAGATAGTACTGCATGATTGACAACCGCGCTGTCAGTCGAACAAACGAACTGTTGCGAGATTGACGCTCTGTATGCGATTTTTACGCCCTATAGGTGCGGACACTATTTAACGCGAACCCGACGTCCATTTGTTGGTAGGTCAATGTATTTAGTATTTAATTACCGATGAAATGTGATTCCGTTTGTTTTGTAACTAGATGTTTTGCTGTTTTTCCAACACCACCGAATAAAACAGCACGGCACGTTAGAGATATTATCTTTATTACAATAAATACAGAATACATTTTGGAATATACGGAGACGTATAACAGCTGTATCGCTCATGTGCTACCAGGAATATATGGCCCTTATTTCGTCTCTATTTCTGTTTATATACTCGATGATATATGTCAACTTTTTACTGCAGTAAAGTGTAAAACCAGGATTTTGTATTATAATATTTTCACTAAACCAATATATTGTGTTATCATAGTTATCATTTAAAAGTATTATTTTGTACAGTTGTATAGTATTTAATTTATTTATAAATGAATCATAAACATAAATTACAAAAGTAAACAAAATAATAAAATAGCTAATTGTCCTTTTTCTACACATTGCAGGCGCAAAAAATGGAAAGAGACCCATTACGTCAATTTCAAGAAGCTTATATAAACTTCTTGGTCATTTTCAATTGTTCGAACCACAACCACAAGCAATTGAAATATATAGAACAAAGAAACTAAAGGGACGCTTTGATTTTTAATTTCATTTTTAAAATGATTTTTATTAAATGTTGGCAATAACTAACAAAATATTGTTGTACTCGTTTTACGGCTTGGGATTACAGAAAATACATTTGCCCGAAATAACGTTAGCTCGAATTTTCATAATGACAAATGTTTTTTTTTTAGGAGTATTACAAAACAACAGCAAATTTTGTCTCTGTGAAAAGCAATAAAATAACTTGAAAGCGTAACGATTTTATTATATATGCATGTATGTATCTGCTCAACTATTTATTATTTCTTTAAGTGAATTTGTAGAAAATTCGACATAATAGTATATTTAAAAATTAATTGATATTTACAATAAAGGCTGCCACATTTCTTTTGTGTTCAATTAATTTTCAGTGGAAGCTAAATATGGTGCATTTTGTTAAGTTTCCAGTAGAAGCTGAATATGGTGTTGTGGACCCTTTAAATGTTGCAAATAAAATTAGGCAGTCCTGCAATGACATATTTAAATTAAATGTTTTAGTTTTCTTATATTTCGTTACATGTCACTACGTTTGTATAGGTTAACTTCGAAAATTTTTCCCGGTTTTTGTATTTGCAATTTTCGTCCATTATAGCAAAGCTCAAGTTAAACTGGTCGATTTAAAGTGAAACAATGACGGCACCCGTCAATTGTTTCGAATTCAAGCTGGCCAATCGCAGCGCAATTGTCACCTTAATATTTTCGCAGAATAGTTTTCAAACAAATTAAATGATATTTCGTCTCTATTTCTGGTTATATGCTCGGTACATAAAAATTAAAGTCATACGTACATGTCTACGTAGGGATTTAAACCGTCTACTTCTCAATTGAAAAGCAACCGTTCTTCCACTAAACTACCACTGCTAGTAATTAAAATCATCAGTCTTGTGAGTTTTTACCATTTTCATTGGTCAAAATCTTCGCATTGTAGTCAATGAGTGCGCAGACGACGGCCGCATGTCCACACTCTGCTGCGAAATGTAACGCTGTCGCCCCACATAGTGCTCTTTCGTCTACCTTTGCGCCACTGTCTAGTAGAAATTGAACCTAAAATAAATAAATACAAAATTTATAACATTTGACGATATCACGCTAATGGGCGTAACTTGCACTTTAAATAATTAATAGATTCAAGCGTTACTCTGCGGATATCCATGTTAATAAAAATGAAAGTAAATAACTGTGCTAAATTTTTTTTCTAAGTGTTAAACTAGTGGAGTAATTTCACAAAAATAATTGAATGTCAAACATCGTGACATTCAATAAACTTAAAACTTACAATTATTAAAATTAAATTTTAATTTAGTCTTCTGATTATTATTTTTATTGGACGTTAGTAAATATACAGTAGCGTACACTGTTTCCATACCTATGTTTGGCCGAACACAGTGAATTTATTGTCACTGACAACATCCTGTGTTGCCACATGTAAATGAATTATGAACTTACAATTACTTGCACTATAATAATTATAAAATACACTTACCACGTCCAAATGTCCCTTATAAGAAGCGATCATCAAACATGTGTTATTGTATTTATTAGCCTTATGTATATCAGCGCCGTGTCTCACTAAATATTTAACTATATCCAATCGTCCGTCGAAACATGCGGCTCGGAGTGGAGTGCTTAAAGTCTTTGTAGCATGGTTCACATTCGCACCTGCGCGAACCAAGCGCTTTACTATGCCCAGATGACCGGCGCCGGCTGCACACCATAGTGCTGTTGCCCCTGAAATATAAAAAAATATTAGTTTGTTATAGTTATTAATACTTAGAAAAAATTCCTTCTATCCGGCCGGAATCGAACCGAAGTTTTCTAACATACAGTGCCAGACGCTATACCAACTAAGCAACGGAACGAACCAGCGGGCCTCACGAATTTTTCTATGCGCTAGTTGTCGTGTCGGCCGTATTAATAATTATAACCAAGTGGAGTAATTTCACATAATAAATAATTGAATATCAATTCAACAAAAATGTAAAAATATTGTTTTTAAGTATTTTATAAGTGCATTATATTGTATTAATATGAATAACTGTAACTATAGAGGTCTCAGAAATCGCGAAAAATATATCAGTTTTTTCATATATCACACATCGACTTCAACATTCAAACAATAGATAACTTTTTTATAAAAAAAAACACCTCAAAAGTTAGTAGAATTATATCTATTTGCTAAGTTTTATTGAAATCTAATTTGTGGTCGTCTATGTGCGTGTCCATGGCACCCGCGATACAGGGTTTCCCTAGTGCGGGACTAAGTTGAGTGCGTTATTATTATATTTTGCTAGTGAGTGTGAACATTTAGTATTAGTTAGCACTATACAACGGCGATAGCTTCTTGCTACTAATAATTAATTATTTTTGCTCTAGACCTTTTGTTTCGAGTTTTAGCATCAGGTTCCGATAATATCCCACAGACAGGCGGCGACTGAACAAATACAATATGCTGAGACTCATGTCCTTTTCATCCACATATATGTACGTAGTAGAAATGACACTAGCTCTCAGTTCAAGTCATTACATTTTCTAGATACGTGTACGGTATTAACAAAGTAACAAAGTCCTATTTATTTATTTATCACCGTGACGTTGTGAACTTTGTAGTTTCATACCTAAACGTGGGGAAATCTGTTGATTTCCCCAAAGGGTGTTCCCTTTCATAAGCCCGTGACTAGAATGTGCCGAACCAACAATGACTTACTAATATCAGAATCTGGAGGTCACATTGATGGTTTCGACAACAATCTTTATAGAATTCGTACCAATCTCCTCAAATATTTCGACTCGTCTTCTCATTACTACTGCCAAATTAATATATATGTTGGTCTTTATTCTCATAAGTTTTAAGTTTGTAATCTCACTTTCCCTTTTTTTTGTAAGCCTTATGCAAATATGTTTACGCTGTATGTGTACAAGTATTAGGTCTACATTCTAGATTAAGTCCTTAATTGTATCTCAAACACGTTCCACCAAATGCAAACTGTTTTGTATATCCAACAAAATAAACAAAAACAATATTTTTTTTAAACCTGGGCTAATATATTTAAAAAACAATATAAATAAAATAAATCATTAATTCATTTACTTAGGCAGTATTTATTTATTTTTCATACAATAATTAAATTCATGGGTCAAATGAAACGAAGGAATTCTTATTGATAAGACTTTTTATGTTATGAAGTTTCCGGTATTTATACACAACATTATGGCAACATTGATGCAGGGTTATGATTTAAGTTTGCGACGATGCGACCTCTTTAATCATCATCCCACCTTTTTACCCTCGGGTTCCTGGCCACTTGCTTTTGAAATTTTGAATCGTTCTCTAATTATTTTTCTTCGTCATTCTTACTTTGTTTCGTTCCGTCGTGGCTCCTTACAAAATTCCCGAAGATAAAAGACGTGTCCTTCAATCATGTAAACCTAACTGCTTATAAAGCAGCAATATTTAAACGAACACAGGCCCGATGGTTGTGTAGTGTACGCGGGCGCATAGTGCGTCAACAAAGAGATCGTTGGGTGCAAATGAACATGTTTTTAATCTCTCAATGGCAGAGGTGCTTCAATCAAAGACGAAGGAGAAGGGGGCTGCAGAGAGTAAAGATCATGAATGGAAAACTGTAGCGTATAGAAAGCAAACTCGTAACCGTTTTATTAGCAACCAAGGAAAGGCGTTGAATGTGTCGAACTCGAAATTTAGGGCAGCGCCGACTAAGAAAATTCCTTTGTTTATTTCGAACATTAGCAAAGACACTACGGGGAAAGACATAGTTCAATATATTAAGAGTAAAACGCAAAGAAGTTACTTTAACGAAAATTCTACCAAAAACCAAAAGAGGTTATGATTCGTACGTATTCTATGTGGACAGTTTTAAAATGTCGTTATTTCTTAATGATGAAATATGGCTTGAAGGTATGTTAATATGTTGTAGAAAATATGTTGTATTTAATAAGAAAGACAGCGGTGTAGCTGTTAAGAACGGGTCTCAATAATAAATTATTTAGTATGTATAGTTCAGTTAAGAGTAATATAACAACTTTTGCGTCGTTTAACTGTAAGTGCTTTAAAAGGTCGATTGATCTAATAAGGAATCTTTGTAAGACAGCCGATGTGGTGGCACTTCAGGAGACATGGCTTCTGCCTCACGATCTGCCTCTTGTCGGAACGGTCAGTGAAAGTTTCGAGTATACATGTAAATCAGCAGTTGACACGTCTGTAGGTATTCGCAAAGGTAGGCCTTTTGGCGGTGTAGCTTTGTTGTGGCGCAAGGGCATTTTTGACGCTGCTGCAGTGTTAAATTGTAACAGTGTAAGGTTAGCGGCAATTAGGGTCACCATTGAGAAGAGGTCAGTAATCATTTTTTCTATATATATGCCCAACGACGACAGTACGGTCGTTAGTAATACTGAGTTTGTGGGTTGTTTAGCCGAAATAGACGCCATCATAGAAAATAATGACGTGCATGATGTCCTTATGCTGGGTGACTTTAATGCGCATCCACATACACAGTTCTGGATGAAATTACAACAATATTGTGGCGATAGGTATTGGAAATGTGCGGATACTGAATTTCTTGGGCTGGACTCTGGCACCATAACTTTTATAAGTGACATAGATGGTAGTAGGAGATGGTTGGACCATTGTGTTATAACTCAATCTGCATGGAATACCGTATTTGATATCAAGGTTGAGAATGACGTGCAGTGGTCTGATCATTTTCCGCTTATTATAAGATGTAAACTGGGGGCGATGGTTCCGAAAATGACATGTGACGTTAAGACGCCTAATAGAGTGTTATGGCGTACCAGGTCGAATGCACAAATAACACAGTACTTTAACATCTGTAATAGCGTATTAGAAGACATTCATATGCCGGAGATTTTCACTCGGTGTACCGAGCAGATGTGTACAAATAGCAGTCATCAGCGTGCTTTAGATGAACTGTATAGAGTAGTAGTCTGCGCTCTTAGTGATGCCGCCATTAAGTCACACGACACTGGTGTACGGAGCGCAAGAAGACCGGTTATTGGGTGGAATAACTATGTGCGTGAAGCTCATGGGGAGGCCCGGCTTAAATTTCAAACCTGGCTATTAAACAACAAACCAGTTAATGGTAAAATCTGGGATGACATGCGTGACAGTAGAAAGATTTTTAAAAGTAGGCTACGATGGTGTCAGAGCCATCAGGAGCAAATAAAAATGGATATTGTTGCCTCTCATCGAGCGTCCAAAAAGTTTAGCCAGTTTTGGAGAGCAAGAAACAGTTTGAATGTTAGGCCGGGTCGACCAATGAGTGTAGGTAGTTGTACTGAAGCCAAGGAGATCGCAGACCTATTTAAAAACCACTTTAAGGTTTCCTCGACGCTGGGCTCGGTGGATCGGATGATCGATGCGAGGGTAGACGTGGCCGGAGGCTTGCCTTTGCGTTTCTCAGCTACGCAGGTGGCTTCGGTTATAAAGGGCATGACCAGAGGGAAGTCTCCGGGGCATGATGGGCTCAGCGTCGAGCATTTGAAGCACGCTGGGGTACATCTTCCCAGAGTATTATCCTTGTTTTATTCTTTATGTATATCTCACTCATACCTCCCCGCAGAAATGATGAGAACGGTAGTGGTTCCACTCATAAAGAATAAAACAGGCGATATTTCGGACGTTGATAATTATAGACCGATCTCCTTGGCAACGGTGATGGCAAAGGTGTTGGATTGTCTGCCAGACTCAAGTTTGAATCAATTTATCAATCTTCATGACGCTCAATTTGGGTTTCGGCCTAAATTATCTACCGAAAGCGCCATCTTGTGTCTAAAGCAGACTGTCCAATACTACTCATGCAGAAAGACACCTGTATACGCTTGCTTTCTGGATCTTTCTAAGGCATTTGACCTGGTATGCTATGACCTTCTATGGGATAAGCTTCGAGGGACGGGCGTACCGGAAGAAATTATAGCGTTATTGCGTTATTGGTATTGCCATCAGGACAATAATGTCAAATGGGGTGAGACGTTGTCTGACACGTACAGGTTGGAATGCGGGGTGAGACAAGGGGGAATTACCTCACCGAAACTTTTCAACCTGTACGTAAACGAGCTGATCGTGAGACTCAGTGGCAGACCAGTCGGCTGCTGGATAGATGGATTACCCGTCAATAATTTTAGTTACGCAGACGATATGGTGCTGCTGGGTCCCTTGGCCGGCTCTGTCAGGCAGCTTCTTGACATTTGTGTTAAGTACTGCGGCGATCACGGCCTGGTTTATAACGCCAAAAAAAGTGAATACATGATCTTTGAGGCCCGAGAAAATAATGTCACCTACGAGCCTGTTATAAAATTGAAAGACGTACCTCTTAAAAGAGTGAAACTATTTAAATACCTAGGGCATTATATTTCTCTTAAGAAAGTACTGGACACGCTCCGTGTCCAATACAATAATGGATTCAGGGTGTTGTTGGGATTGCCCCGATATTGCAGTGCATCGGGCATGTTCGCAGACATGCGGACAGACGATTTCTGGGGCATGTTGAGAAAAAAGACCGCATCCCTTCTGCTCAGAATGCGTGGCAGTTCCAACAGCATTCTGAAAATGTTTGCGCACAAAACAGCGGAACCCATGCTTGAGCATTTTGTTGACGTGCTGGTGTGGCAAGCCACACCTACGCCTAGATAAAGACAAAGATAGCTCAAGCATGCGGTATATGTTTTACTCATTTTTATTTTATTCATTTTTA